GGATGGTTGAGATGGAAAGTCAGCTGTGAATTTGAGAGGCTAGAAATTAAGAAGCCTCTGAGGATCATTACAGGGGAAGAAAAATGATCAAAACAGCGTATGAAATGGAGACAGGCTGCAGAGACGAGGGGCAGGTGGGGAGGGCCCTCTGGTTAGCGTGCCATCTGACTTGGATTCCAGGTTGTGGAACCTGCAGCCCTCCGGGAGGCTGCGGGGCTCGAGGCAGCTCAGCAGACTCGGTCACCAGGTTGGGCTTCCTGGGGTGGGAAACGTGGCGGATGGAGGGCTCCCACAGCCCACTGCCCTGCCCCACGGAGTCTTCCTCCCTGCAGCCAGTCCCCAGCCTTCCCTCTCCAGGACGCCAGTTCAATGCTGGATTCTGCCTCAGGCTCCAGGAGAAGTCGCGCTGCTCTGGGAGGAAGCCCTGCTGCTCCTTCTGCTGGCTCTGCAGTGATTGATGGCTGCTGGGAGGTGGGTGAGCAGCCGTCCCCCACCCCCAGTCACCCTAGATGGCCAGAGCAGTGGCGGTTGTTTCCCAGAATAGCCAAAGCAGGGTGCACAGGCCAGGGCAGGGCCCAGGTGCTCCAAAGAGTGGTTCTGGGTGTAGTGGCTGTTCCAGGAGATGGGTAAAGTACCAGGATCCTAATCCCGATTTTTCTGAGTAAGAAGGTAACATTTTGCTGCTTAATTTCTTGGTCTTTCAAGGCTTTCCTGGATTAGGGGCCTGAAAGATGCCTGGTAGCCAGGCAGCAAGAGCCTGATACTGTTTTCAGATATTGTCTTCCAGGGAAACAAAGGTTCAGGGAAGATGGTGGTTTATTCTTAAAAGATTTTACGTTGCGAGAACCTTTGTTCAAGCCAGGTGACCTGGCACATGCCCGTAATCTCAGCAACTTGGGAGGCTGAAGTAGGAGGATCACAAGTTTGAGGCTAGCCTGGGCAACTTAGGGAGACTCTGTCTTAAAATAAAGAACATAAAGAGCTGAGGATTGTAGCTCAGTGGTAAAGGACACCAGAGTTCAACCCCTAGGGCCCAAACAAAAACTAAAACCACAAAAGCAAACTAAATGCCTTCTCTCAACAACCTCCCCTTTGCTCTGGGTCCCTCAGTGTGAGGGTGGGAGGGGCTGCTTCTCTCCTCCCTGTCTCCCTCTGCCAGGCCTTCCTGGGGAATTTAAAGGGACAACTCCTCTTCTCAGGATAGCGGGTGGCGGGAACCCAGGAGCTATAGGCACCTGTAAAACCAATTTAAAAATCAGTCTAGCCAACCAGCCCCCCAAGGAACCAAAGGGAGCTATAGAGTAACTCAAAAGCAGACACTAATGGAGGAGAAAAGAAATGTAGTTACATATTCATCAGCTTTTAAATATTCATGAGGATTGTAAAGCAGATTAATTTTCATGCCTCATTTCTCCCGTGGTTCCCGCTGTCCATATTTTACCGCAGCAGCAGCAGAAGAAAAAGGAGCTATGGATCACTTGGCCACTGCCCTGACCATCACTGAAGGAGCAGGATGTGTGTGTGTGTGTGTGTGTGTGCACGTGTGCCTGTGTGTGTGTGTGCCTGTGTCAAGGAGAGCGGGAGGGGCCTGGAGTCACCGTGGGGGGTGAAGGCGCTGATCTCCTGAGGGAATAGCCCTCTCTTCTGCTGGGGCAGGACAGGGTGGGCACAGCCGGGCACTGCAGTGGGCAAGGGTAGGGGCTATGTCTGGGATCCAGGGAACAGTGTGGAGCCCAGAAGACTCTGGGGGCTCCTGGGTAGTTTCTGGCCTCCTCTGGGTGAGTGAGCCAGAGTTCCCTCTCCACTCACCTAACTCACAGCTTGAGGTGAATGGGGGGGGGATGGAGAGGAGGGCATGCAGGGTGGGGGGCAGGGAAGAGTCCAAAGGACAAACAGGCATAAGAAACAGGGAAGACAGAAACCATGTGAGAGGGGCAGGTGAAAGGGTGATCCTTCCAGACGAGAGCTGTTAGAATAAAAGGACATAAGGTAAAAGCAGTAGGCATAGAGGTTAGACCCCTGGGAGGACTTTCGATTTCTAGAGCTATTGAACCTTCTCTCTATAGGGAATGGGAAAAATAGTCCTCTGAGTCATACACCAGCTGTGAGGCACAGTGAAGAGAAGCTGAAGCCAGAAACGTGCCAAGGACTGCTTGAGACACAGTCAACAAGTGTCCCGCCAGCAGGGCGAGGCAGGGTGAGGGACGCGCAGGGTCCACAGCAGGACGTCAAGGTGGGCTGTCCCAAGAATCATAGGGAGCAAATATCCTTGTCCAGAGCCATGAGTGAGAACCCCAGAAGGTTATATGTGAGCAGAACATAGGCCCCTGTGGACAGAGTCGCTGGTGCACTCCGGGGGCTCCTGGGGTGTCCCTGGGTAGTGACACAGTCTGTTTACATAAGCCCGGCTGGCAGCTGCTCACCACCCTTAGTGGATTGGACTCGTGTTCTTGGACTCAGGAGGGAGGAGCTGCCCCCGGGGGGCCCTTGCTTGCCAGCCCCTGCCGCCTTCTGTGCGGGCCGAAGCTCTCCCTGGTGGACGCTCAGGTTGCTCTCTGGAGATGCTGTCCAGCAGGACTGTCCTGAGAGCTCCTCCCACTTCATTCCCTCCGTGTGCTCTTGGACATCTCCACTGCATTCTACCTGGTGTGTCCACTTGATCCTCGGATAGCTCCCCTTGAATGACCGGTAGACATCTCAAGCTTCCATGTTCATGGTCAAGCTGGTCCCCACCTTCCACAACCTTCCCTGTGGCAACAGCAGCTCCGCCCAACTCCGCCCAACACTTCAGTGGCCGCCACGTGGGTCCTGGTCCCCACCTTCTGTGGTCTTAGTTATTGGATTACTTCAGTAGCTGCCTGCTCCTCTCCTGCCTCTCCCCAACCCCAGTCCATTCTTCTTCTTTTTTTCCCATACTGAGAATTGAACCCAGGAGCACTTTACCATTGAGCTACAGCTCCAACCTTTTTATTTTATTTTTTTGAGACAGGGTCTTGATAAGTTGCTGAGACCGGCCTCAAATTTGCAATCCTCCTGTCTCAGCCTCCCGAGTCACTGGGGTGGCAGGCATGTACTACCATGCCTGGCTGGTCCATTCTTGACCCAATAGCCAAAGCAAGACTCTTACCATGCAGATCATGTCCTGTCTCTGCTTAAAGTCTTCCAGGGGCTCCTATCTCAAAGCCCAAATCCTCTGTGGCCCATAAAGCTTCACAGTCTTGCCTCCTCCACTTTGCCTGGCCTTGGCTCTTTTTCACAGGCACCTCTGTAGCTATTCTGGGCTCCTTTCTGTGCCTTGAGCAAGGCAGACCTGCTCCCATATTGGGGCCTTTGCACTGGGCTCCCTTGTTACTTGCTTTGCTAAGTTCACCTTTTCAGTGAGGCCTCCCTGGGCACCTGTTAACAGTTAGGACTCCCTTCTCTGGCCCTTTCTCACTCTGCTCTATATTTTTCTCATAATACTTTTTTTTAAGAGAGAGAGAGAGAGAGAATATCTTTTTTGTAGATGGACACAACACCATGCCTTTATTTTATGTAGTGCTGAGAATCGAACCCGGGTCCCGCCTGTGCTAAGCGAGAGTTCTACCGCTGAGCCACAATCCCAGTCCTCTCATAACACTTTTTACCTTTTAATATGATACAGTTAATTTTACTGTTAAATTTATTGTTTATTGTCTGTTCCCATCCACTGGAGAGTTACCTCCCGACAGCTCTCTGGAGACTTCAACTGGTCTTTCCGGTACCCCTCTCCCGAGGGCAGAGATTCTGTCCATTTAAATCAGTGCTGTCGCCCCCGCACCCACAGCAGGGCAGAGCACACCTAGAAACCCCCTAGGAGAGTTCCCCAATAAATATTCATTGAATAGGAGCCTCTCCTTCTGCCCTGGAGAATTAACTGCTGTTCACCTGGTGAAAACCACCCAAAACTTAGAAAGTACATCTCTGGAGATGCTGGGCCAGGCAGGACCCTGTCCTGGGGGCTCCTGCCCACTTCATTCTCTCCGTGTGCTGAAATGACTCCTTCCAGATGGAGGTGGTATAGGATGGTGGTCCCTAGAGAAGGGAAATAAATGAGGTGGGGCTGTGGTATGTTATCAGTTTCCTGTCTGAAGACAGTTTCCAGGCCACAGCAAAGGAGGTGAGACTCCATGGATGATGAGACAGAGTCTGGATTTGGGGAAGGCCAGCATCTGTAAGGACAAATGCTGGAGAGAGAGGAGCTGCATACAGGGAGTTCTGAAGATCTGTAGAAGGGTCTTGAGAACTTTGATCACTGATCTGTGCATGTTTGAAATAACACACCACAGGTTGAGGAAGTAACTGGTAGAAAGCGGGAGGCTGGACAACACCTGGCTGGGGATAGTTCATATACCCTCCAGTGGATGGAGAGAACATACAGGACACCATGCATTGGGCAGAGTCCTCAGAAAGATGTTACTTTAGCCCTAGATCAAAGACTGCTCTGGATCTATTCTAACAGCTTAAGGAAACAAGCCTCAAAAGTATCAAAGATGCTAGTTACTGTGAAATCCCAGCTATTGGGAGGCTGAAGCAGGAGGGTCACAAGTTGGAGGCAAGCCTCAGGAATTTAGTGAGATCCTGCCTCAAAATAAAAAACAAAAAGGATTGGGTTGTAGCTTAGCAGTAGAGCACCCCTGGGTTCAATCCCCATTACTCAAAAAAAAAAAAAAAAAATCAAAGTTGTCCCAAATAACTGAGCTAGAACAAAGTCCAGCACTCTTTAAAGGAATACAACAAAATCCAGAACTTGACAATATAAAATGTACATTATCCGCCATTTAATGCAAAATTAATAGTCATTCAAAGAGGCAGAAAAATATGATTCATAATCAGAAGAAAAACCGATCAACAGAAATAGACTCAAAAGGAGAAAAAATGATGGAATTAGCAGACAAGAATACTAAAGCAATGACTATAAATATGCTCCATATGCTCAAAAATATAGAAGAAAACATGAACATAATGAGGATATAAATGGAGAATTTTAAAAAATGGAATTTATAAAGATGAAAATAGAACATCTGAAATGAAAAATATTGAACAAAATCCATTCTATTTCTGCTGCTGCCACGACCAAAACCACACGGAGGCGGACTTCTCTCCCTAAAGCATGGTCTCCCTGTAGCCAGAGCTTGCTCCTTTGCCTCCCTTGAGATTGTCCAGAAGATGATGACCTTCACTTTCTTAGTTCCCCGGGATGAAACACGCTTCTTTCCTATTTGGTCCTCAAATGCGATCTGGATTTCCAAGGGCAAGCAACAGCTCTCCGGATATTTCAGCTGGTCTTTCCGGTACCCCTCCTGTGTCCTCTGATCTGCACGCTCCAACTCCCAGCCTCTCCACCATGATCTTCTCTCCATCAGTCTCCCTTTGTCCCCAGATTAGTTATGGAGCTCTTGTAATGGAGGGATGAGAAAGACCTGGCTCCCGACACATGGAGCCCCAAATATGGCCAACCTAGCCAGATTTGCACCATGCCAAGAAGAATGTGGTCAGGTTCCTGAGGCCTATGTGGATAAAGCACTTAAGGGAAAAGAAAAGTTCATTTGGAGGAAGGTTTCATCAAAGAGGTGGTATTTGTACTAGATTTTTTTCCCCCCCTGGTACTGGGGATTAAACTCTTCCTTGAACATGTAAAGGCAAGTGCTCTGCCACCTGAGACACACCCCTAGCCCTTTTTATTTTATTTTGAGACAGAGTCTTGCTAAGGTGCTGAGGCTGGCTTCAGACTTGTGATCCTCCTTCCTCATCAGCTGAGATCACAGGTGTGCACCTCTTCTTCATCTTCTGCTGGGTTCTGAAGGGTGGATAAGGTCTAGGCTGGTGGGAATACCCAGACAGGCATTCTAAGCAAAACTGAACTTCACCTTGAATCCCCTCACTTCTTATTCTCCCCTACTTGCTTCTTTTCTCCTCATGAGCTCTCCCCTTTCCTCTGCCAGATGCTGACACGGTGGAGAGGCAACTTGCCCCATCCCATCTGGGCACTGAACAGTTCACTTCTCACTCCCCCGTCCCCCTCCCCCATCCCTCTCTCCCCCACCATTGTGAGCCCAGTGTGATGAGGCTGGGTTTTTCAAGGGCTCCTTCCTACAATATCAACTGATCCTCCAGGATGGCTCTGGGATGTGGTGTGGGTTTGTGATTGAGCGGGTCGGGAGGGAGGCTAGAGGTGGGTGGCAGGGGGTCCCTTCTCTGGGCATGCTTGGGTAGATAAGGATGAGCTTGTTAAAGACAGTGACAAAGCCCAGGGAGGCAGGCTGGGGGAGGGCTCCCCAGGGTGGGAGGTTTGAGGCAGCTGGGGCACTGGGATGCTCACCTCCCACCTTCTTGGGTCTGCCCCCTCCCTGGCCAGGTGTCCCTCCCCTTGCTCCCCACACCAGGGCGGACAGGTGGTGGCTGCAGAGTGGCTGGCAGGGCATCTGGTGAGTTCCCAGTCCCTCAGAGCTTCCCACCAGAGTCCTCCAACCCAGCTGGGGCAGTGCTGGCCTGGGGCTGGGCAACCAGTGAACCCAGTGTAGGGACAGTATGGAAAGAGGGCATCGCAGTGGGTGGCCGAGGGTCCTAACTTTGGTGCAAGATGGAGTGTCACCTGTACTGTTTTAGGAGTTGAGACATTTACTCAGCCTCCAATCTCCAGTTTCCTTATCAGTAAAATGCAGATCATTCCCCTCCTCCCTCCCTCCCTCCCAGCACATGCTGAATAAATGGTCGATGCTGCTATTATTACTATGAGGTTGTTGTTGACAGGCTGGCCGAGAGAGGATGGAGGCTGCGCCCCGGCCCCCGTGCCCCTGGGTGCCCCTGTCCTGGCTCCTCTTTGGCTCCCTCCATCTCAGGCTGCTTTTACTAAGCTTCCTGCTTCCTGACCCTTGTTCTGGATCTTCGTCTGAGAGCCCCCAGAGGGTCCCCTCATGTCCTTAATTGAAATTCTTTTGCTTGGCAAAATCATCAGCACCTAATGTCCCATGTCACTGCTGGTTCTCTGTCTGTAGACATCTCGCTCCTCGGAGCTGCTCAGCCACCCAGGGCAGCTCCATCTGGCCAAGAATGGCCACAGTTGGGGGCAGGGCCGGGGGGGGGGGCGTGGATGACAATTTGCTTACAAATTGTAAGCAAAGATGAAGATGAAGGACTCCATGACCACCCCCAGCCCTTTCTACCACATGGACGTTCATCCTCCCTCCTTGACCCCGCTGAGGCTCCGTCATTCTCAGCATTAACGTGGTAACCACCTCTGCAGAGCAGGACCCTGAACCCAGTGAGAAACTGAAGTCCCCCCACCTGGTGTGGCTCAGCCAGAGTTCGACTGAGTTGGTGCTGAGGTCTTAAGGCAGGGCCAGCACCAAGTCAGGGCCAGGGGGAGGTGAACTAGAGAAAGATTCCCAGTGGAAACCAGGATGGAAGGAGAATTTACCCCAGGTATAGGAGTTCCCACACTGTGGGCCCTTGAGGCAGGGCTCCTTCCCTTGGGCAACACCAGCCAGGCCACTGCAGCCCCCAGGCCTGGCCCCAGCACCAAAGGAACATCCCGAGCTGCTTGTCCAAGTTTCTCTCCCAGCCTGGCCTAAGGGCAGCTTTGGCCACCCCCCAGGATAAGACAGATAGGGGCAGGCAGTGTTACCAGCTTGCCCAGCCTCGTCTAGGACAAGAGACTTTGTTTAAGGGAACCCAGAGCTGGCCCAAGGGAGGAGAGAGAGAGAGAGGGAGAGAGAGAGAGAGAGAGAGAGAGAGAGAGAGAGAGAGAGAGAGAGGAGCCCCCCCCTTCGCTACATTCCTGCCACCTCTACTCCAAGAGATGTGTGTTTTACCATGAGCCGAGAGAGAGAGAGAGAGAGAGAGAGAGAGAGAGAGAGAGAGAGAGAGAGAGAGAGAGAGAGACAAACCCCTTTGTTGGTTGCTCTCAGCACTTCTGGGATCCTCTGGCATTTCCACAAAGAACTTCCATAAATACTAAGGGAGAACAAAAGGGAAGTAATTACAGAAAATACAAACAGCACGAAAATAGTCAAGTTTCTAAAGTACAGGTTTCTCAGCCCCAGACAACCACCCTGGAGCCCAGGAGGCTGGCCTGCCTTTCCTGCAGGCTCCTGGCCAGGCCCACCTGCTGCTGCCCGTCGGCTCCTGCCAGGCTGGGGCCAGGCAGACGCCCCCTGCCTGCCAGCTCCAGCTTCTCATCTGAGAGCGTGCCTCGCCACAGCTGGCCACCTGGGCGGTATGTCTGACACTGAGTGGGTGCAGGTGGAGGCTCTGACTACCTACCTCATGGGCACCTGCTGATACAGGTGGCACCCCATGTCCACCCTGGGCCTTGTCCCTTGCATGTCCCCGTGCAACCACGCCTTCACTGTTGTGGTGGACATTGTGTAGGAGTTCTGACTCCCCGCCACCCCAGATCTGCCCTGCTCACACACAGGGGCAATGGCAAGCACATGGCAATGATTTGTCCCATGTGACCCAACCCCCTGTTAAGGCTGATTGGGTTAGAACAGGCACCTGAGCCAAGCTGACTAGCCAGACCCAGTGCTTGGGTTGTGGGAGTCAGGGCTCGGGAGAGTCTCTGCATGCAGTTCTTCATCTATTTCACACAGATGTGGAAGCCACAGAGGTCATCTGGAGTCTTGAGTTCTGCCCAGAGAAAGAAGCAAAGCCATGTGCAGGGAGAAGCAGAGAGAGAGACCATGAGCGGGAATTCCCAGTGCCTGCTGGCTTTCCTGGGAGAGTGTGGAGGCTGGGCCACACTCATGCCCTTGGGTGCTACAAGACACTTCTATGTCCTTTTAGTAAATTGCCACGTTTTACTTAAGTGCTAGTTTGAGTGACTTGCAACCCCAGAGTCCCAATGCTGTAACTGGGACAAACATGATAGTGCAGTTGGGGCCCCAAGGGGACAGAGCTGGGCACTTGCCAAGGACTCGGAGGAGCAATGGAAAGGTGCACCTCAGTTCCCAGCTGTTTGGGTGGAAAGGCTGGGAGCCCTTGAGTGAGGCAGGGGAGAGCCAGTCAAATATTGCTAACAACTTACAATCAATCAATTACCAATTGGTCCAAAAGGGGACTCTGACCCAGAGGGATTGCTTAGCCCGAGTCCTCAGCTTTCCTTCTAGTATCCCATCTTCTGGCCAGCAACCCTGTCCCCATCCCACTGCCTCTATGGCAGTGCAATGCACCACACTGAGTCTGAAACCTCAGTTTGAGCCCCAGCTCAGCCACTCATGAGCCTTGTGACCTTACACAAGTAATGTCACCTCTCTGACCTTTGCTTCTCTTGTCCAAACAATGGTGGCTGTAACCCTTTAGCACTTGTGCAGGGTTCCTCCCACCTGTGCCCTCCCTCCTTCCACCCCCACCTCTCCACCCCTTCTTCTCCTGCCCAGGGCTTGCATGTCCAGCAACCAGTGCAGCAAACTCTGACCCCTTCCCATGGTGGCACTGCTGTGTATGGAATCTGAATCTCACCTTGGGTTGCAGTGCTCACCCAGAGCCAGCTTCAGACTGAGATCTCCCAGGGGGTAGGCATCCTGTCCCCTCTTCCTCCTTCTAGATCCTTCCACGTGCCCAGAACAGTGCCAAGCCCAAGTGGGTGCCTGGAGGAACCCTGTCTTGTTCACTTCTCCCTGACCTCCCCATTTGGGCTTTCCCTGCCCTGTCCCGGCAGGGAGGACAGCCCAGAGCCTACATTCTTCACTAAACCAGAGTTTTGGGTCCTCCAGCCACGGGAAGGTGCATTTCTGGCTCTTTCTTCCCCACGGGCCCATCCTCCCTCCCTTGCACACTTCTCGCTGTGAGGGAGGGGGCGGGTGTCTCACCTGAGCTGGCCACTACCCCCACCCCCTCCATTCCAGCGGGTTCCCTCCCTCCCTCTCCTGCTCCTGGCACAACCTCAGAACAGCGTTCTCCCTCCCATCGCTGCCATCCGTAGTCGCCCCCTCGCTTCTCCCAGCCTTTCTGTTCCCAGACTCGCTCGTCTCCCCCAGGCAGCTGGGAGAAGGGCGCCTTCGATTTCTCTATTCAGTCTGAGGCACAGCAATTTTCTGCTCGCCCGTAATTAGGGGAATTTTAAGCAAACTCCCCGACGGATGATTACAGCAGGTTCAATCCCGGCTCCTTTGATCAGGGAAGAATGGGGACGTTGTTGGAATATTCCTCGACCTGCTGGCCAGACAGGCTCCGGAGGCACGGCTGGCTCTCGGGCGCCCCCTGGAGGGCTTTGAACTTTCGTCTTGGCACCTAAGTGGCCCTGGGTGCTGGAGTCTCCCTCCGTGGGGAAGGACGGAGTTCAAATCCTGTTTCATTAAGGACTATTCCAGATGTGGCTTCTCTGGATTTGGGCCAATATCTGGACTCAGGATTAGGGCTGGAGGTGTGACGTGAGCGGCTTGGTGTTAACAAGGTAGTCTCCTAGGGCTACTGTGAGTGGTTGAGCAGGTTGTACGCAGGGCCCCCAGGGGACGTCATTCCCATGGTAGCTTATGTGAATGGGGACTCTGCATGACTCACTTGGCAGCTTGAACCTGCCTCCACGAAGCTTGAATGACTCGTTTTCTACAATATTGGAGGAAAAGCTGCCTCCTTCGAGTTGAAAGGGCCTCTTCTCCATTGATCTCATTTCCCTAGCCAGGTGTTCCTGCCGAAAGCAGTGCAGAATAATAGGAAGGCCATGGTCATTGGAGCAATTGGACCAGGGGATGAATTCCAGTACAACTGTTTCCTGCTGTGTGACCTTGGGTTAGTGAATGAACCGCTCTGAAATTGAATATCCATTTTAAAGGATTATTTTGAAGATTAAATAAGAAACAGAATGAAACATTGCTTGACCCCCAAAAGGTGCTCAGCAAATGTCACTCTGGTTTTCCTTTCTCTACCCACTTCTCACATTTCCTCTTAAACATTATCACCCGACAGGACTAACCCTATTTTCCTCTGTCTGTTCGCCAGTCCCAGGTCCCCCCTCAAAACTGTGCCAGAGAGCACACTGGGTGTATTAATAGACTACTAATGCCTCCAGCATTCCAGAGCCGTGGCCTGGCTTTCCCATAGGTTAATTAGGCCGTATTTCAGGATAATTACGACTGTATATTCCTACACTAATTAAGTGGCTTTAAACCATCTCCACAATGCAGATCCGTGAATCATAATTAAGCCTCACCACCGAGTGCCTCTGCCAGCCATGGAGCCCGCTCCCAGGCACAGGAGAGGCTGCGCTGGATCCCTGGGCTTGAGCAGGACGTGTTTTTCTAGGATCATGTTGGGATGATTCCTAATGAATACTGGATGAGGCATTGCATCGCTCCTCTTCTGTTTTCACAAGGAGAAGAGAAATAAGATGTTGATGCGGGTTTATTCCCTTCTCCCCCGCTGAGCGGATTTGAATGGATTGGGGGGGGGGATGCAGGTGGGGAGGGTGGGGGTAAGGCGCACAAGCCAGGATGCACGGGTGTGTGTGTGTCAATCCACCAGGAGTGTTCGTGAGGCTGTGCGTGCCATAGCTGTTGCCCACTTAGGTCTGACATTAGCTGGCACAAGGAACACAAATGCACCCCAAGATACCGGTGGCTGGATCGACCTTCTCATTCCTGGAGGTCTGACTTGATGTGTCTTGGAGGGAAGCTGTTCACACCGCAGCATCAGCCAGCCCTTCTGACTCACATCACTGCCAGATTGAGTCCTGGAGGGGGCATTGAAGTCACCGACAGAAGATCCAGTTTGGGCTCTTGGCTCTATGACTTGCTGGTTACCTTAAGAAAGTCATTTGGCCTTGGGGTCCTTATGTGGAAAATGAAGATAACAGCCAACGATCCCTTAGGACTGCTGAGAAGATTTAAAAAGGCAACAGGATTGTGCCAATGCCCCCATATGAGAAGGGTTCTGTGGAAAGAGCCATATTTCCTGCCAGGGAAGTTTGATGAGTCTTGGGCCCAGCATAGTGGATCCATATTCAGGAGGCCATAGAGGTCCCTGGGGGGCGGGAATCCGGCACCTCACTCCAGCAGTCCACCGAGGTCCCTGGATGCTGTGTTTCTCCTTAGTGAAATCACAAAGCTCTTCTTACCTCGTCCGTCGCAGGAGCTTGGAGAGGACACCTCAGTCCTGACATGATGGCAGATAGAGGCAGACATGCAGATGTCAGGAAAAGAACATCCTTGGACATGGTCCCAGGCCTGGGGTCCTTGGACTCTTGGCCCATTTGGCTCCCTCTTCTTTCCTCCTGTCCCTCTGCTCCTTCACGCTCTCTGCTCCCTGCAGTCCCGCTTCCCCACCTCTCTGGGGACCAGCAGTCAGGCATGGCATGTGCATGTGCGGGGACCTGTCCTCTCTCTTGCTCGCTTTCCGTGGAGAGAAGGCTGCAGGCATTTAGAGTAAGACGCTAATCAAATAAGGACAGGTAACAATACACCGACATCTGTGGAAGCCACGGAAATCCTCGGCTGTCCTCGGCAACAGGACAGGGAGCTGGGGAAACGGGAAGGAGGCAGCATTTATTTAACCTGGTTGTCACACACAGCTCCCGGCGCCTCTGACAAGTGAACATCGTGTGAAGGTGCAGATAAGCTCGACTGGAAAATTGACAGCAAAGAAGGAGGAGGCCCCTGCTCTCCACTGCTGTGGCCTGTGGGTTATGGCTCTATTGAAACATAGGGAGGGGAGAGGCAAATGAGGTTCCCCCTGTGCATACAGGGAAGGAGCCTGTTCCCCTGAAAAGGGAGGGAAAGTCATTAGGTTAGCAGGAGGTTAGTGCTCAGAGCAGGCAACCAGGTGAATTTAGATAGAGAAGAGAAACTGCATTCTTGGTAGAGATGCTAGGCAGATCCAAGGTGGACTTCCTGCTATTTGCATTAAGGGAATTGAGGGATGGCAGAGCAGGGGGCAGAGGCTCAGCACAAAGGAGTGTTGACTGAGCCAGTGGCCATATGGTGCCCACAGAGCTGTTTGGCAGTAATAATAAAGCCTGTGGGAGATCTCAGCCGAGAAGGAGACTCTCTGCGGGAGTGGGAGACTGGGCACGGACCAGGGGAGCACTGAGATAAGGATTGGAAACAGCAGGTCATGAAATACTTCCAGAGTACAGAGTCTGGATCCAGGGTAGCCCAACTGAAACCGCTCCCTGTGCATGTGACCCTCACACTCACTTCTTGTGCACAGGAAGGCATGTACAACAGGCATTTAAACACTTGCACAAGCCCATCTGTCATGCACACCCCATGTTATGGAATAAATGTGTGTCCCCCTAAAGTCATATGTCAAAGCCCCAGCCTGCAATGTGATTCTGTTTGGAGGTGGGAGCATTGGGAGGTGATTAGGGTTAGATGAGGTCACCAGGGTGGGGTCCTCATGATAGGATTAGTGCCCTTATAAGAAGAGATAACTAGAAAGCCAACTCCTCTCTCTCGTTTTGTCTCTCTCTCTCTCTCTCTCTCTGTCCATGCTCTTGGATAGGAGAAGTCCATGTGAGCCCACAGCAAGAAGGCAGCTGCCTGCAAGCCAGGAAGAGGGCCCTTACCAGGCCCTGCCTGTGAGGGCACCCTCTTTAGGTTTCCAGCCTCTAGAACTGTGAGAAAAAAAACATTTCTGGTGCTTTTTTCCCCTTTGTACTGGGGATTGAACTTGGGGGCACTTAACCACATTTCCAGACCTTTTTTATATTTTATTTAGAGACAGGGTCTGCATTGAGTTCCTTAGGCCCTCACTAAGTTGCTGAGGCTGGCTTTGAACTTGCAATCCTCCTGCCTCAACCTCTCAAGCCCCTGGGATTACAGGCATGCGTTTCTGCGCCCAGCCACATTTCTGTTGTTTAAGGCACCCAGCCTGTGGTACTTTGTTAAGCACCTCTAGCAGACTAAGATGCCCAAGTAAACATACATTAATGTAGTTAGGAGAGAGAGGTCCTGGCTAGACCACTCATTCAAGGTCACAGTTAGCCTTGGGTAAGTAACTGTACCCTGCTGAGCTTTGGTTTTTCTCATCTACATGAGCAGAGCTCACTATCCTTCCTGATTCACTTCAAAGAGCTGTCATGAAATGAAACAGAAGAAAGGATAGGAAATCCTTCTGCAGTTTATAAAATCTGCTCTGGTTGTGAGGCCCAGGGAGGGTTGGACTATCACCTTGCCCAAGCCTGTCCTGATGGAAGACTGGGTTTGGAGGTGGGGTGGTGACTTGTGGCAGCTTTCTTGCACCAACATTCAGCCCAGAGGGGAGGAGGAGGATGAGTGTGCATACTCCTCTCTGTCCTCCACACTGGTCAGTGCCAAGGGCTGGGGCAGCGGCTCTGCTTCTGTCTGGCCCAGCAGCTCCAGTGCCCGCAGCTGTGCTTCTTTCAGGATGGGAGTTGGCCTTCTCTGGGGACTAGAAGGGCTGTGGGGACTAGAGCCAGATGTTCCAGAGGACCAGGACTCCACCCCAGAGAAAGCAGGCAGAGCCAGCTAGGAGTGCTGGCCTAGGTCCTGGCTGTGCCTGGGAACCAGCTGCCACCTAAGTGTGGCTGGACAGCCATGCCCAGGGTTGAGGGCTGCTTTGCTGTTGTGTGGATTGAGCCTGGGGATTGGGGAGCTTAACCCTGTACCAGATCATGGTTGAATGGTGTCTGTGGATAGGGAATAGCTCGGGATGCCTTCCTCCTAACTCTGGGCTGTACATGGGAGGAAAGTGGGGAGGGCAGAGAGAATAGCCCCAGCACTGGCCTTGCAGTGGGCACGCTGGTCACCTGCACTCTGAGGAGTGCCATGCTGTCTTTGGTGCTCCAGAGAACTTTGTCCTCCTGGGCCAGTGTCCAGGTTCTCTCAGCAGAGTGGTGGCAAGGTGGAGAGCGGCAGAGGGAACTTCCTCCCACCTCCTGTCCACCAATGAGGGGATAGGGGAGTGGTCCACTGGAACCATCCTGGGAATGGCCTTTCCCAGTTCTCTTGCTTCCTCAGTAGTGGCAGAGAGATCAACTGGGGTGAGGACTCAGCTCTGGGGGGATAGTCAGTACAACTCAGTGCTGCAGTGCAGAGGACGATAAATAAAGGCTCAATAACTCTCTGGGGATAAAGAAAAGGAATAGGAAAAAAATAAGAGATGTGGATGGCAGGAAGGAACATGCAACGACTTTCTGAAGGAGGTGAAATAAATAGAAAAGAGAAAATATTTGAAGAAACAGTGACTCAAAAATTTCCAAAAATAAGCACA